GACATCTCGCCACTCTGATGTCTCCCCCCTCACCGTTACTCGCTATTTTTTGTTGCTTAAGTACTCCCTTATCCACTGGAGCACCTTCCCTTTTACTCCTGCCTGTTGCTCCAACTTTTTTAACAGCCTTTTATGGGGTACTGTGTCAAAGGCTTTTTGGCAATCCAGGAAAATGCAGTCGACCCCACCCTTCCCTTTCCTGCCTAATTTTTGTTGCCTGGTCATAAAATTCTATTAATTCTGTGAGGCACGATTTACAATCCCTGAACCCATGTTGGTGGTGTGTTACAAAGTTATTTCCCTCCAGATGCTCTACGAGCCTTTTCCTCACGATCTTCTCCATCACCTTGCATGGTATACAAGTTAAGGAAACTGGCCTGTAATTCAGTGCCTCTTGCCTGTCACCCTTTTTGTATACTGAGACCACGTTAGCTGTCTTCCAACTTTCTGGTAAGTCTCCTGATTCCAGTGACCTGTTATACACCATAGAGAGTGGCACACTTAGTGCTTCTGCACGTTCCTTTAGTATCCATGGTGAGATTCTGTCAGGCCCAACAGCCTTTGTCACATCCAGCTCCAGCAGACACCTTTTGACCTCATCACTGGTGAGGTCAAATTCCTCCAAGGTTGCTTGGTTTGCCGCCTCCTCATTTAGTGCAGGGGCTTCTCCTTGTTCTATTGCGAAAACCTCCTGGAATATCTTGTAGAGTTCTTCACACACCTCCTTGTCATTCTCTGTGTATCTGTTCTCCGCTTTTCGCAGCTTCATCACTTGTTCCTTCACTGCTGTTTTCCTCCTGATGTGGTTGTGGAGCAGTTTTGGTTGGGTCTTCTGTGGTTTCTGGCCCTCTGGTATCTCTCCCTACTCTCTGGTGTTCTGTTATTTCTGTAGTTTCTCCATGTTCATTTACTCAGTTGCTTCGCTACCTTGCATTCCTGGTTGAACCATGGGTTTTTCTGTTGTTTTTCGTTTTTCTCCTTTTGGACGGGGATAAACCTGTCTGCAGCTTCCTGGCACTTCTGGGTGACAAAATCCATCATGACCTGCACATTCATGTCTCTAAGTTCTGTTTCCCATGGTATTCCCCTGAGGAAGCTCCTCATCTCGTCATATTTTCCTCTTCGGTAATTCAGTCTTTTTCCCTCTACTCCCATCCTTGGATAGATTATCCCTACCTCCACCAAGTACTCAAAGGTCAGTACACTGTGGTCACTCATTCCTATGGGGGCTTCAACTTTGACTTCCCTTATTTCTGACTCATTCAGGGTGAATATCAAGTCGAGTCAAGCTGGTTCATCACTGCCTCTCACTCTTGTGGGTTCCTTGACATGCTGGCTCAGAAAATTCCTTGTTGCCACTTCTAAGAGTTTAGCTCTCCACGTATCTGCACCACCATGTGGGTCCCCATTCTCCCAGTCTATCTTTCCATGGTTGAAATCGCTCATGATTAAGAGTCTGGAGCCATTCCTGCAGGCAACTGAAGCTGCTCTCTCTATTATATTAATGGTTGCCATGTTGTTCCTATCAAACTCCTGTCTAGGTCTTCTGTCATTTAGGGGAGGGTTGTAAATGACTGCCACTATTATCTTAGGTCCACCCATTGGTATAGTTCCTGTTATGTAATCTCTGAATCCGTCACAGCCCGGAATTTCCATCTCTGGAACTGCCAGCTGCTAGAGAACCCAGCTCCTGTGTGAACTGCAAGCTGCTTGAGAACCCTGCCTCTGTGTGAACTGCAAGCTGCTTGAGAACCCAGCTCCTGTGTGAACTGCCAGCTGCTAGAGAGCCCTGCTCCTGTGTGAACTGCCAGCTGCTAGAGAGCCCTGCTCCTGTGTGAACTGCCAGCTGCTAGAGTACCCAGCTCCTGTGTGAACTGCCAACTACTAGAGAACCCAGCTCCTGTGTGAACTGCTAGCTGCTAGAGAGCCCTGCTCCTGTGGGAACTCCACTAAACCCTACAGAAATCATGCCAAGTTCAAACCCGGTGGTTCGGCCACCAATCTGTGTTTCCCGCCTCCAACATTATGCTGCTCCTTACTCAAATTTTCTCCATCAACGCCCCGGCCTTCGATTCCCTGCTTACCAACTCTATGGTCCATAAAACTGAATCCTAGCACAAGCTAAATCTAACTAATGTAGGCAAAATGACCCCATCTCACCAACAATTAACATATTGTATCCTAATAAAACTTAAATTCTTCTAGATCTAGCTAAATTTAACCTATCCTATCGAAAAAAAATAATTTATCACAACAGAAGCTAAATAAAAAATTGTTTAACTTACCCTTCCAAAAATTTATCATATCCTAAACTCAATACAACTTATTTATCTATATTTCTTCTGTCATCCAATTTAATTCAATTTTATGCTTATAGAACCTATATTAACGAATCCTTCTGAATGATGTTCAATCTAAACTTATGATTTCCTTCCCCAACCTAAAGTCTATCCCATCATTATTTATCCTAACAGAAGCTATATATGTCTAAATTTAGACAAATTTAATATTAGATATAAAAGTTTTACTTAAATCCAACATGAGTTCAATCTAATATCTCCTTCTTACTCCTCGATCTACTAGCTCCTCGACCTCCTTCCTTCTGGACTATTCCTCTTCGTTCCTCCTCCTCCTCCTCCTACCTCCTTGAAATACACTGTTTTCAGGGTTCCAGCCCGCCATCTGAGGAGCTGAAGGAACTCTACAACTTATGATAATCATCTTTGAACCCAATATGTAACTCCTATTTTGTAACAAAGTTAAAATAATACAAACATATATGTGTATGTACAAAAGAAAGGGGGTGGTAAAAGAAGAAAATATGAAAGTGTTCAGTGAGAATCCACAAGGTCTTCCCTGAATACTCCTTATTTTCTTCTCCGAGGCTATGGGTCCCCCACATTTGCCTCTGGTGCAAATGTAGGGGACCCATAGCGCTTCTTTTTATATACCTACTATATGCCTCACCTGTGACAGAAAAAAACATGCGTTTTTTAAAAGCAGCGCCATCTGTTGGACGTAAGAGCAACACACTCTGTAATCTCCGAAATTTCTTCTCCGATTGCTTTGAAATTTTGACACAACGTTGCATTCAAATTGGCGCGTCCTTTTATATACCTACTATATAGATGCCACCCTTGTGACAGGTATAAACATACGATTTGAAAAACAGCGCCATCTGTTGCACATAATAGCAACATGCATGCTATACTAAATAAATTCCATTTCAATATTTCCGATTCCATTGATAAATTTTATTTTCATAGATATCGATATATTTTATTTTTTATTGAATTATTTTGTGTGACATTGTGTTCGAATTGAGCTGTGTTGTTTACAATACCATACATTTCGTAAGTTTAAGTGTAGATGCCACACCTGTGACAGGTAAAACTATACTTTTCTTGAAAAAACAGCGCCATCTCTTGCATGTACGAGCAACACACATGCTGTTCTAAATATATTACAATTCCATTTCAATGTTTCTGATTGCATTGATGAATTGAATTTTCATAGAATTTGATTTATTTTCATTTTGATTAAATTATTTTGTGTGAATTGTGTTGGAACTGATCTATGTTGTTTACCATACCGTTCATTTTGTGAGTATAGTTTTTTTCACCTTTTCTTTTCATTTTTTAACTTCTTTATTATATATCACAGAAGGGAACATCAGATCACTTGATGTTCCCAATTTTCTGATGGGAACATCAGACCATTTAGAAGGTATCAGACGAGGGAGTGGGGAATGGTGGGGATGACGAGGGGTCGGAAGTGAGAGATGATGGGGATGTCGAGGGGACAAAGGAGGGGGTAATGGTGGGGAAAGGACGAAGGGGCGAGGGAGTTTGGGATGATGGGGACGAGGGGATGGGGAAATGGAGAATGGTGAGGAGGACTAAAGGGACAGAGGAGTGGGGCATGATGGGAAGGAAGAGGGGATGGTGGAGTGGGTAATGGTGGGGAGGACGAGGGGACGATGGAGTGGGGAATGGTTGGGAAACCGAGGAGATGGGTTAGGTGGGAATGGAGGGGAGGACTGGGGGACAGTGAAGGTTGCTGTGGCTCAGCAACGCACATGCGTTGCTGAGCCACAGCAACGCGTGGCCGATCAAGGTCGGGTCATTTAGAATTCTTAGTGATACAAATATAAATATATATAATCGATTGCCAATAAAAGATTAGTCAGTCTTGTAGCTATTATACTAAGCTCCTTGACTTGCTTGATGGCTTCAATAAACTTTTGCTAACATTCATATCTGGTCCCTGCAAGATGTCATCAACATGTCCATATCTTGCCAGGAGATATGATTGGAGACTGGTCCGTAGAGACATTGCTCCTTGGAACCAAAGCAAGGTAACCGGAAGCTTTAGAACACATTAGTTTGAGTTCCAAGTCAAAAAGGATTTTTTCCACAATGCTACTAAATAATATTTTACAAATAAGACATCGAGGAGTAACGCCTTAATACATAATATACATGTTAATTCATTAAACTATCGGGGCTCAGAATTGGTGCCTCTTTTCAAGTGTCAAATTAATGTTCTGAATAGAGAATATAAATGTTAACATGCACCTGAATTTTTGTTTTTTTGTTGTAGGGATATTTACTTAGGGGGAGTATGAGTATTTATGACTCGTATGGTCGATTCAGAAAGATTTTGTACCACGTATTTAACAACTTCTTTTGCTCTGTTAAATCTAAGTTAAAATCTTAATGGGTTTGAAACTCTGTACTGAGTTAGATAATGTTCCAATAGTCTGTCTGGCATTTCTCCATAGTGCAGACATACACATGAATTGAACATTATATATGCAAATTTCAAGTATTTAGGACTTCCATTAAACATTTTATTTATGGTGAATACAGGTTTTAATACAGTTTGTGAGCATTTGGAGCATACACTTTTCTAAGGAACGAATAAGTAGAGCTAAATATGTGAATGAATGTGCTACAATTATTTTTATGTTATTTAATGAAGAATATCTTTTCAAACAGAATAGTCTTCAGCAGTATCATTTATGGACATATCTGTGTAAATCAGTGTTCGAGGTGTCAGAAATCAGCGAGGACTTTAACGTGACGCAGACGCTGCTCTACCACGTGGTCAGTGAGGCTCAGCGGGTATGTCACTCTCACATTATTGTTAATGCTGGAATGTCACTCTCACATAACTGTAGGTGGGGGTAAGTCATTCTCACATTACTGCTGATGCTGGTAGGTCACTCTCACATTACTGCTGGTGCTGTATGCCACTATCACATTGCTGTTGACACTGGTATATCATTCAGACACTACTGCTGATGGAGGTATCTCACTCTTACATTATTGCTGACGCAGATATGTCACTCTCACATTACTGTTGATGCTGGTATATCATTCACATTACTGTTGATGCTGGTATATTATTCACATTACTGTTGATGCTGGTATATTATTCACATTACTGTTGATGCTGGTATATTATTCACATTACTGTTGATGCTGGTATATCATTCACATTACTGTTGATGCTGGTATATCATTCACATTACTGTTGATGCTGGTATATCATTCACATTACTGTTGATGCTGGTATATCATTCACATTACTGTTGATGCTGGTATATCATTCACATTACTGTTGATGCTGGTATATCATTCACATTACTGTTGATGCTGGTATATCATTCACATTACTGTTGATGCTGGTATATCATTCACATTACTGTTGATGCTGGTATATCATTCACATTACTGTTGATGCTGGTATATCATTCACATTACTGTTGATGCTGGTATATCATTCACATTACTGTTGATGCTGGTATATCATTCACATTACTGTTGATGCTGGTATATCATTCACATTACTGTTGATGCTGGTATATCATTCACATTACTGTTGATGCTGGTATATCATTCACATTACTGTTGATGCTGGTATATCATTCACATTACTGTTGATGCTGGTATATCATTCACATTACTGTTGATGCTGGTATATCATTCACATTACTGTTGATGCTGGTATATCATTCACATTACTGTTGATGCTGGTATATCATTCACATTACTGTTGATGCTGGTATATCATTCACATTACTGTTGATGCTGGTATATCATTCACATTACTGTTGATGCTGGTATATCATTCACATTACTGTTGATGCTGGTATATCATTCACATTACTGTTGATGCTGGTATATCATTCACATTACTGTTGATGCTGGTATATTACTCTCACATTATAGCTTATGCTGACATTCGCCCCGGAGGAGGAAGGGAAGTCGTGCTGTCTGTACGCACCATACCCAATACTGTGTGCTAACCATTGCTGTGTGCTACCCAAGCTATGTGCTGATTGAAGCTGTGTACTGAGGAATCTGCCGATGCTGTGTACGAAACGACGCTTTGATGCTGTGTACAAAACCCAATGTTTTGTATACGAAACGACGCTCTGTGCTACACAATTCTTCACGCTATGAACTGACTGCTGTCAACTGCTGTACCACCTGCTGCCAACTGCTATATCAACTGCTAACAACTGCTGTGCCAACTGCTGACATCTGCTGTGCTGCTGTGAGTAGGAACACCACCACATGTATACAGGGTTAGGTAAGAAGTCAGTTGCTGCTGTGTTGTGCTCTGTTGTGAACTTTTGCATTAAAATGCTTGTGTGCTTTGCAAAATTAAAGTAATTACAGTGAATTCTTAACTAACATATACAGTGCAGTAAGTGTTTAATATCCTGAGGAACATTTAAGTGATAAATTTACATTTATTCAGTAAAAATGGCAAATATACCTCAGTTTCCTGCATTTGATCCTGACTGTGACCAGACAAACCTGTCACAGAGGTGGACCAGATGGCTTAAAAGGTTTGAAAATTTGTTGATAGTTTCAGACATCAAAAGTGCTGAAAGAAAGCGTGCCTTTCTACTTCATTATGTAGGTGATCGAGTTTGTGACATCTTTGACACACTGAATGACACTGGTGGTGCCAAAGATTATGACATTGTCAAAGCCAAATTAACTGAACATTTCAAACCAAGACAAAATACTGCAATGGAAATTATGCATTTCAGGAGAGCGAAACAACTCTCTAATGAAACTGTGGATCAATACCACACACGTCTGCAGGGTTTAGCAGCCCATTGTAAGTTTGCTGATGTTGACAAAGAAATCAAACAGCAAATAATTGAAACATGCACATCTACACGTCTCCGTCGAAGAGCTCTAGAACTTATTGATGATGAAAGTTCTCTTACCAAGATACTGGATATTGCTCGTCGAATGGAAGATGCTGCGCGTGATGCTCGTGTCATGGAGTGCAGTGCCAATAACGGTTCTGCCACTGTTACTAACAGTGATGAGATACATAAGGTTCAGGGAGGACACCGTTATCATAGAAGATATCATGCCAAACCTAACAGTAAATTGAGCCGAGAACCACATCACAACTGGAGTCATGGAACAAGACTCAAGCAGTCACAACGACTCACATCAGAGGTTGTCAACAATAAATGTCACAATTGTGGAGGAGACTACCCACACCAAGGTAATGTTTGTCCTGCTCAAGGTAAGAAGTGCTATGAGTGTGGAAAACTAGGTCATTTTGGTGCTATGTGTCGTTCCGCACTAAAGAAACCACAGTCAGTGAATAAAAGCACTGTACGAGGATCAGGTCATAGGGGTCGAGGTGGCAAACACAATCTTGCACCTCATATCCAGAATGCAAAAAATGTACAAGACAACATTTCATTACAACCAGTCTCAGATGACAGTGAATGTGATTACATTTATGGAGTACAATCAATCACAGAATGGAATGATCTTCCAAACAACCCAGAGAATATAGTATACATTACTGGTATTTGTCTCAAAGTTCTCATTGACACTGGATCAAACATTGACACCATTGCTGAGTGCCACTATGAAAAATTTAAAAAACAGTTCCCAAAGCTTGAAAACTACAATGGTAAAGCCACTGCCTATGCTTCAAAAGTAGCCTTACCAGTGATTGGAACTTTCACTGCAGAGATTAAGTCAAAGAGTGCAATGCTCACTACTACATTCCATTTTGTTAGGAATGCAAAGGAGTCTCTACTCAGTTACAAGACTTCAACCAAATTGGGGCTCCTTCAGCTTTCTAATGCTGTAGCAGTGAAATCTGCAAACAATGTTGATGCTATTGTTGCTTAATTTTTTTATCGATTTGAACCTACAGAACCTACCTATACTGATAGCAAAGTTCAGCTGCACATTAACCCAGATGTAATTCAAGTTGCCGAGGAATATGTACACTCTGTAACCTGTGATGCTGTCCCTAAGGCTCTCACTCTTGATGAAATCCGTACTGCAACTCTAGAGGACCCAACTCTGCTAACAGTGGATGCATTGACTAAGAAAAAGTTTCCACGCATCCCACCCTCAGCAGTTGACCAAGATGCATTCAAAGCACTTGAACGCATCCAGACAGAATTAAGTGTTACGCAACAACGCGACACCGTGCTGCGAGGTACTCGTATCGTCATTCCAGCTGTTCTCCAGCAGTGTGCTCTGAAACTTGCACATCAAGGACACCAAGGTCCAACCAAGGACACCACCAAACAGCTGCTACGAGAAAAGGTGTGGTTTCCTGGCATTGATCGTCAAGCAAAGGACATGCATGATGCCTGTGTCCCTTGCCAAGCTGCAGTTGATGCTTCAAGACCAACACCTCTACAACCTTCACCACTACCTGCTGCACCATGGACGGAAGTATCGATGGACTTCTGAGGACCACTACCAACTGGAAAGTACTTGATGGTAGCCATTGATGATCACTCCCGTTATCCACAAGTAGAATTCATCACTTCCATATCTGCAAAGGCTGTCATCCCGAAGCTCGACAAGATCTTTTCAAATTTTGGCATTCCTGAAGTTGTCAAGACGGACAATGGACCACCATTCAATGGACAAGACTTCGTCAACTTTGCTGAGCATATTAGATTCAAACACCGCCGTGTGATGCTACTACATCCTCAAGCAAATGGAGAAGTTGAGACATTCATGCAACCTCTCATGAAAGCTGTACGCTGTGCTCATGCCGAAGGACGATCCTGGAAACTAGCTATGTATGCTTTTCTCAGGAACTACCGTGCAACACCGCATGGAACACCGGGCAAGTTGCCTGGTGAACTCTTATTTGGACGACCTATGAGAATCGCACTACCTGTCATGCCAGCTGAGGTAACAGATAAACGTCTCGCTCAGAAGGATGCACTAGCCAAGGGCACAATGAAAATTGTTCATGATCAACGTGCGAAGGAACAATTCATAAAGGTTGGTGACACTGTTCTTGTTAAAAAGAAAAAAGAGGGAAAGCTAGATATGTCGTATGATACAAAACCATATAAAGTGATTAGTGTAAAAGGGTCTATGGTAACAGCTAGTAATGGAGATCATAGTATAACACGTAATATGGCTTATTTCAAAGTGATTTCAACTAGTGTAGAAAATGATGAAGTGAAATGTCTTACAAAGGAAAAAGAAAAAATGAGCTATAACCCGACAAACAATTCATCAAGGGATATTCTTGTATTTAAGGACTCTCGTCCTAAACGTCAATGTTAAACGCCCTACGCTATTTGATGATTAATTGTGTTCCTATGTAATGCAAAGTATTTACTGATTATGCTCAACTAAATTTAATATTATTTGAATAATGCAGATCTCTCATTCAATATTTTGTAACTTTGTATTACAGTTTTTTTTTCATTTGTGTTTAACATTGCATTTGTATTTTTAACACGAAACTTTTGTGTGGTAAAGATTAAGTTGTTTAAATTCTTTGTGTGCTTCATTAATGTTAAATGTATGCAATATCTCTTGATATGTTAATAACTTACTTTGTGTCAATAACTTTGCTTTGTGATACAAGCATGGTAGACATCCTGTATTCATTCTTTTTAAAGAAATGGAGGGATATCATGTTCATAGAAAACGGTACCATCCGTTTGTATGTGCTGCGGCTCAGACGCTGAGAGAGAGATAAACAAGAAAGCGTACGGGACGCCCACCAGCTTGGAAACAGCTAGTCATGTAATCTTTCATTAGTATTAACGTCAGTAACCAAGCAATTGCTTTATATCAACCCTACAACCAAGACTTCCTCAGCAACACACAAACACCACACTGCTGATGTGGTATGTCACTCTCACATTACTGTTGATGCTGGTATGTCACTCTCACGTTACTGCTGATGCTGGTATGTCACTCTCACATTACTGCTGATGGTGGTATGTCACTCTCACATTACTGCTGATGCTGGTATGTCACTCTCACATTATTGTTGATAGTAGTATGTCAGTCTCACATTACTGCTGATGGTGGTATGTCACTCTCACATTATTGTTGATAGTAGTATGTCACTCTCGCATTACTGCTGATGGTGGTATGTCAATCTCACATTACTTTAAATGCTTGTATGTCACTGTCACATTACTGCTGATGGTGGTAAGTCACTGTCACATTACTGCTGATGCTGGTATGTCACTCTCACATTATTGCTGATGCTGGTATGTCACTCTCACTCTACTTTGGTTGCTTGTATGTCACTCTCTCATTACTTACTGGTGGTGGTATGTCACTGTCACATTACTGTTTATGCTAGTATGTCATTATCACATCACTGCTGATTCTGGTATGTCACTCTCACAATACTGTTGGTGCTGGTATATTACTCTCACATTATTGCTGATGTTGTTAAATCACCGTCACATTATGGCTGATGCTAGTAGGTCACTTGCATATTACTTCTGCTGCAGGCGATGAGTCACAATAACGTGGCTAAAGTATGTTGACAAGACCACACACTAGTATGTGAGAGTGACATACCAGCATTAGAAGTAATCTGACAGTGACATACCAGCAATTAAAGTAATGTGAGACTGACATACCACTATTACTGCTGATGTGGTATATCACTCTCAAATTACTTCTGATGCTGGGATGTCACTCTCACATTACTGCTAATGCTGGTATTTGACTCTCACATTATTGTTGATGCTTGTATGCCACTCTCACATTTCTGCTGATGCTGGTATGTCATTCTCGCATTATTACTGATAGTGGTATGTTTATCTCAGGAGAGAAACATCATATTACTACAGATGTTCTCAGAAGAGAACATCATATTACTACAGATGCTGGTAGGTCATTCTCACATTACTGCTGATGTGGATGGGCTTCCTCTACCTTTCCTGCAGATCACAAATCCACAGGAGCCTTCATGAGGGTTCGAACCTATGCGGTACGTGTTCCCAGATTGTCTCTAGTCTACTGTAATATTATATGGCCATAGTCAATAGTACCGCGACCATGTCGTGGTACAGGTTACTAGAGCTCGTCTGGGATCACTCTGTGCATAGGTTCGAACCTTCATCAAGACTTCTTTGGATTTGTTCTTTGATATATCACGATAATGGGATTTCTGAGTATTTTTGCTGATGGTGGTAGGTCGAAAGTTCTAGGCCATTCTTACATTACTGTTGATGTGGGTAGATCACTCACAATTCTGTTTACGTGGCTAGATCAGTCTCACATTACTACTGTGGCAGGAAGATGAATCTTACCTCAATACTGAGTCGGGAAGGACGATCTCACTTCAGTACGTAGGCCAATCTCACCTAACATCAGTCACATTGATTTTAACAGCTGCGGCAGGTGTCGTGGTGCGTGACGCTGGTGGTTGTGAGCGACAACCACGGTTTCCTCTCTGCTTTCGTTAAGTTGTCCCTCAGTGGCCGTTTGGTGGTTCCTGCAACAAAGCTCCTCGTTGTCACAGACTTTTCCAAGGTAAATGATCCAGACCTTAGCAAAATGTACTCCAGGACGAACTCTATGGTGCTCGTCAAAGAAGATTCACGGAGAGGCAATCGGTAAGTAGTTCTATGATGCTCACGTGGAATGGAAATTTCAAAGATAGCATTAGAAAGATTCAACAGTTAAACATGAAATAATAATTACCTAATGCTCGATGAAGTAATTAGCTAACTTATTTTTTTATATATTTTTTTCTCATTTAAGGTGTGGTGTGTACACACAACTGCCCTATAGCCCCCAGGGATCAAAGGCTGTGAAGCTGGCCTCCTGGACGCCTCACGAAGGACTAGTTTTAACGTCTCATACCCCGCTCTTTCCTGACAAGTTTTCAAAGTGAGTATACAAAAGTGTTGCGTGGTGTGGGAACCGACTTGTGAGATTTATATTTATTTAATTTATATGAATTTATATTTACGTTAATTTATATACTTCGATAGAAATTTGTATAATGATAAGTGGACTGTATTTCTGCAATAATCTCTTAATCTCACAAATCGATCCTCTACACATTATGGGGGGTTATTAAATTAATATATATGCAGCCAATCAAACTACAGTAATAGCTACATACATTGATGAGGTTCCTTATCTTATAGTACAGCAGGTTAGTCCACCAGGTATAACTAGGGTGTAGACACCAAATTATCCTCTTTGAGGTAGCTTCCATATCACCCAGTAACTGGTGCACAAATCTTCCTTCCTCGTCTTGACCTGTCAAAAGTGCGCTAGCTGTGAAGCCAGAATCCTATATATGACAAGTATATCAGAGAAAACACTATACAGTACATGGAACATTAAAGACCTGGCTTAATTACCTTTAGTATGAGGCGATTTCGCGTTCTAACCGGGTCACCCTATATAATGACATTAATGGCCACTAATGATAGATAATGGGTTTCGGAAAGAACACTTAACTTGATATGTAGACAGCGTGTTGAAAAATGGTACACCTTTGGTTTCCATAACACTACGTCCAAGTAAATTTAACAGGAGCCGAATTTGCTCCCGTGTGAGCCTCTGGTCTCAATATAAACAATGGCTGTTTAACACTCCATCCTATTGACGTTACTGGCCGACATTGTCCAGAATGATAGGAGCTAAATTTGCTCCACACGTCTCGGAGGTGACACAACAATGCTGACTCCTTCCTCCCTCACGCCTGGCCTACTTTGTCCAGATTTCAGAAAGTGATAGAAGGGTCACATTTACTCTACTTTAATATTGATAATTAAGTTAATTTATATAAGATGTTTTTATGATGGTAAAGTCCAAAGTCTAATGTATTTAAGAATAATTCCCAGCAAAATAGCTGGTGAATTATAATAGTATGTGGTGATGATATCCCGTTTTCTATAGACGGTAATTCCACTACAAGTTACGTTTTCTATGGGTAACTTGTTTATACAACACAGCTCTTATCTGTCTGTATGATATATTAAATGCTGTCGGATTTTCCGACATAATTCCCCAGGGGGCTGCTCACGGGTCGAAGTCCTAATTAGAACAGACGAACACCGATACTCCTCCTTCGAATTATTAGATTAATTTGATGTTAGTAGTTAGTAAGCACACATTTGTGCGTCTGTTCGTACAGGACGGATGTCCCGTACTAGAGTTGCAAGGGTTAGAAGTCTAATGCGATTTCATTTCCCTGTCAACTCTTGAAAGGCTAATATGCAAGCCTTATTACATATTATTTAACCCAGAAGACTGGATGTGATCAAGTACTACAGTCAAGTATGATTCAGGGACTGCAGTGAGATCAGTGACATTAGATATAACTTGAAGTTTCTTCAGGTAACTGGTCACTGATATATAAACACTGAGGCCCATGGAATACATCTTGATTAAATAATAAATGTATCAAATCAGTCATCAGATTTATTGGGGTTTTATTTAATTAATTGATTCAGAGGATTGAATAGCTCATCATTAAAGTAAAGTATGGTTCTGAGACTGCAGTGGGTTCAGTGACATTGGTCGCAGTGACTTGTAGCTGTTTTAGGCTACTGTTCACTGATTTGCCACTGAGGCCTCATGAACTCATCTCCAGCTTTAAATGATGATACTAACATCAACCTCTGTTACTATAGTCAGCTGTAATCTCCTTAGTATAATGCTACTGGAGAAATATAATCAGCTGACAAATTTAGATCTCTACTGGTATTGTTTATCTGCAGGCTTAGGTCTCCTCAGGCTTGATACTGGGCCTGAGAGTAATTTACCTCCTGCAGAGTTTAACATGGTTATACCCTGATATTTAGTAGGGCTACCGATGAATTGATGGTAGTAGTCTGTCCCCACAAGGACAGCCATTTGGCATTTGATTTGCTCAAATTTACCTGCAGCTGCTTGATAATAGCTTTCCAGGTCAGCATAATCAACTTGAGATTGTTGTGACAAATCTTCACATTTCTTGATCTGTCTTGTTAAGTGGCCTTTAAGACCTGCAAGGGTTCTTTTCATTCTCCCTGCATTATCCATACTGGCTCGTTGGTGAAGCCTTGTGGGGCTTGTACTTGGGCTGCTCATAATACTGAACAAACACTAATGGTAGCCTAGGGTAAATTCTGCACTCACTAGGCAATAATCCTACCTCTACTAGAGGTTAGCACTTAAAATTAATACACATTATATATATACAATCATACACACTAATGATTTGAGTGATAAACCAGTGTCACTGGAAGTACCTTTAGGTTAGCTCTTCAATATCACCCTAGGATGGTAGAGACACTAATTAATCACTCAAAGGTGTAATGATCATAAGTAAATTATTATATATACAACTCAACTCGAGTTGATAAAAATTACACCCAAAATAGGGTCTGCACCATTCATTAATGGTGTTAGGTTATTCAATATAGTACAACTGACTATGGTAATAATGGGACTAGGATGAACGATAATAGTTCAACTAGTCAATGGTTAATATCCTACCCTGTTGTGGGTTGGCAATTAGTAAATATTATACTGTGATCACTAGTGCAATTTATATTAAATAATTCTCTATTTTGGAGAAATAATATACACAATTATTGATAATAGCCTCTTAATTAGCCTCTATGAAACTTCTAATATTATCTAGAAGTATTAAATATTATTAGTGACCTCGCGAAATAAAGTCCACAAAATTCGTGGATAATCTCTCGCGAAATGTAACACCACGAAATCCGTGAACAATCTCGCGACACAGTCACTAATTTGGCTGGCTTCTATTAGCGCTGTCATTTCACGAAATAACACGCCACCAAATATCTGTGGGTGTGCATGAAACCGCTGACGAAGCTGAACTGGGCTGAGGGAGGCTCCTGAGCTCCCTCGAGGCTACGCTGCCGTCTTGACTGCTGGCTTTGTTTAAATAACACTGCACTAGTATATTTAATGAATCCACTGGTTAACTGGTTCATCCGGTACTAAGATGACCAAATGTGGGTTCAAAGGACCGAATATTCCGGTTCCGAAGGTCCAAATAATGTGGGAACCGACCTGTGAGATTTATATTTATTTAATTTATATGAATTTATTTACGTTAATTTATATACTTCGATAGCAATTTGTATAATGATAAGTGGACTGTATTTCTGCAATAATCTCATAATCTCACAAATCGATCCTCTACACATTAGGGGGGGTTAAATTAATATATATGCAGCCAATCAAACTACAGAAATAGCTACATACATTGAAAAGGTTCCTTATCTTATAGTACAGCAGGTTAGTCCACCAGGTATAACTAGGGTGTAGACACCAAATTATCCTCTTTGAGGTAGCTTCCATATCACCCAGTAACTGGTGCACAAATCTTCCTTCCTCGTCTTGACCTGTCAAAAGTGCACTAGCTGTGAAGCCAGAATCCTATATATGACAAGTATATAAGAGAAAACACTATACAGTACATGGAACATTAAAGACCTGGCTTAATTACCTTTAGTATGAGGCGATTTCGCGTTCTAACCGGGTCACCCTATATAATGACATTAATGGCCACTAATGATAGATAATGGGTTTCGGAAAGAACACTTAACTTGATATGTAGACAGCGTGTTGAAAAATGGTACACCTTTGGTTTCCATAACACTACGTCCAAGTAAATTTAACAGGAGCCGAATTTGCTCCCGTGTGAGCCTCTGGTCTCAATATAAACAATGGCTGTTTAACACTCCATCCTATTGACGTTACTGGCCGACATTGTCCAGAATGATAGGAGCTAAATTTGCTCCACACGTCTCGGAGGTGACACAACAATGCTGACTCCTTCCTCCCTCACGCCTGGCCTACTTTGTCCAGATTTCAGAAAGTGATAGAAGGGTCACATTTACTCTACTTTAATATTGATAATTAAGTTAATTTATATAAGATGTTTTTATGATGGTAAAGTCCAAAGACTAATGTATTTAAGAATAATTCCCAGCAAAATAGCTGGTGAATTATAATAGTATGTGGTGATGATATCCCGTTTTCTATAGACGGTAATTCCACTACAAGTTACGTTTTCTATGGGTAACTTGTTTATACAACACAGCTCTTATCTGTCTGTATGATATATTAAATGCTGTCGGATTTTCCGACACGTGGAAATATTTTGAGATCGAGCAATATAAAAGTTCTGCAAAATATAAACATTGCCAGGTCAGGAATGTACATTCATAGCTGTAACACAGCAATAGCAATTCAATAACAGGAGGATTATCATCTCCCCTGAATTCTCACGTAGGAAATACATATAATGAATTTGTCACGACAAAAATCTGCTTAGCCTTGACTGCTTAACACAGATGACTAATTATTCTGTTAATTTCATATGAAAATATAGTAACATAAAATTTCATATGAAAATATAGTAACATAAAATTTCATATGAAAATATAGTAACAATATTTCAGCAACAATATTAAATATTAACAAAAATAATCATAAATTTTTCCAATAAATAATAAACTAAACAAGTTAAGTTATTAATAATCACCTTTAACCCAGTATGTGATCCCTAGCTTTAGATAGGATATCATAGATAAGGAAAAGTAATTACTAGTTAGAATGGGTTAAATTAAACTTAGATGGGTAAAATTCAGCTTAGATAAATTGGGATAGGGCCAATTTAGCTTTGATTGGCTACAATTAGCAAGATTTGTTTAGATCTAGTTTCAGTTAGGGTAAATTGAGATAAATTTCCATAAATATAGCTACATTTACCATATTGTAGAAAAATTAGGAGAGAATGGCATAAATTACGTATAAATAGCACATCATAGATTTGGATTGTTCATTATGGGGAAAACTGACTCGTGGGATTTTATGATTAATTTTATCATAAAAGTTAACATGAAAGTGGAC